AGCAAGCTGATAGAATCCTAGAAAATTCAGGTTAGAAGGGACCTCAGGAGGTCATCTAATCCAACCTCCTGGTCCCCCTGAAGCAGAACCATCCCCAACTAGATCATTCCAGCCAGGGCTTTGTCAAGCTGGGCCTTAAAAACCTCCAAGGATGGAGATTCCACAGCCTCTCCAGGTAACCTGTTCCAGTGCTTCCACCCTTCTAGGGAGATAATTTTTCCTAGTATCCAACCTAAACCTCCCTTGCTGCAACTTGAGATCACTGCTCCTTGTTCTGTCATCTGCCACCACTGAGAACAGTCTAACTAACTCCATCCTCTTCGGAACTGCCCTTAAGGTAGTTAGGGAGGGTGTCTCTTGCAGTCTCTTCCCTGAGCTACCATTACTATGCTAAGGCAGCGTTCTGACAAGGTGACAGCAACAGGTCTTAATTCAGTCTTAAACTCATCTAAAGAGAGATGATTTTCAGATGAGCTTAAGACTGAATTAAGACCTGTTGCTGCCACCCTGTCAGAAGGGTGCCTTAGCACAGCTGCTAGAAAAAATGGGGCTTACCCTTGCAGCTTCTTCCATGCTCTACCTCAAATGAACTGGGACTTACCTGTCCATTAACTCCCTTCAAGAATGGAAGGAACTGCTTTTGAAGGAAACAGTTACTGTCTCAGGGCCCTTTTCATGGGAGGCTCATGGGAAGTGCTGAAGGAAAAGGGGCCATCATTATATTTATTAGTCTGCCCTTCCCCAAGTAATAAACATCATCTTTGCTTGCAAGATAGGTCTGTAAGCATCTCTTAGTGATGGCTGGTATTTGTGGCAGTACCACTTCTGTTTACTGTGGGATAGAACAGACCAGACAAAAGAGTTACTTCAGCTGGAGCCGAAGTCCCCTATGCCTTCAAACAGTGTAACTGTTTAAGTTGCCCATGCCTTTTATTTGCTCTACAGAAGTAGGGGGGTCTAATAGAACTCGGGGTGTTCCCTTTTCACATGCTGAGCAAGGGATCTGTTCCTTGATGCTCCAGATCCTTGATCCTATTGCCATCTGTTTCCACTCCCCCAAACGCACCTGCATCATGCCTTCCAAATTATGCTGAATCTGCTCTTCCTCAGAAGAAGCAAAAGCAGGCAGAAGAGAAAAAAATCCTCTGCTGCTGCTGTTGATAGTCTCTGAAGCTGTAAGTAGGAGGAAGAGTTGTTTAAGTTCAAGTAGGAAGTCAACAAACAGTAAATGGCTGTAAAGAGAGTTGCCAAGTTCTTTTAAGAAAAGGTGAAGACTTGTTACGAAAGAGTGGAAGGAGAGTTGGATCAATGAGGATCAAAGAGGAGTGGAAGGAGAGTTGGATTAATGCATAATGCTTTAATGTTGAGATATTTTACCAGTGCTTAGCAGAGGAACAGATCTGTCTGTGTGTAGGCCAGGGATGGGCAAAGTCTGGCCTCTGGGCCAGATCGGGCCCACGGCAGACTCCCATTTCCCAGCAGCCCTTGCCCATGTCACAGTGGCTGATTTCCATGGAGACCCCAGTAGCAGTGGTGCCATGACTGTGGAGCCAGGGTTTTCACAGAGACCAACCCCAGCAGCACTGGCAGGATGCATGGCTGAGCAGGGAGCTGCTCTGGGCCCAGGGCTGGGATCTTGCAGTGGTGGCAGCATAACCTGGAGTCGGAGCAGAGTCGTGATCTGCTGTTCGCACTGTGTGAACAGGCAGCAGGTCATGGCTCTGCCCTAGCTCTGGACTGCGCTGTCACCACTGCAAGATCCTGGCCCCAGAGCCACTACCTGCCTAGCCATGTGTCCTGCCAGCGCTGCTGGGGCCAGTCTCCATGGAAATCCTGGCCCTGCACTGCCACTACTGGGGTCTCCATGGAAACTGGTCACAACAACAGGAGCAGGGAATGCTGGGAAATGGGAGTCTGGCTACTGGCTGGGTCCACCACTTTGTCCACTTCTGGTCTAGGCATTCACAAAACACATGGTAGGGATATATGAGATGTTCATTAGAATATTTCTCCCTACTGTAGAAGTGAACTCAGTAAAATTAAGTGAAATTGTGCAGTAGTTGATTTACTGAAAGATACAAGCTTCCCAAATGTGAAATACATTTTTAAAATTAGCTTTAAAGTTGAAACAAGCCAGTTAAACCAGTTTACAAAAATGTGAAAAATTCTTCAACTAGAATCTGGTTCCTGTTCAGAAGAGTGGCAAAACCATTTGTATTGCAGCTGTATTCACACAGCAATAACTGAAGATTTGATTTCAGAAATGTGGACAATGTGCTAGAAGTTATCTGCCACTGAACATGGAATAGTCTACCAAAGAAGCAGATCATTATAGATTAGCAATAGAAAAAAGGGGGAAGGCTTCCCTTTAAATATTGGGAAATTACAATATTTCGCTCTTTTTATACATTTAACTAGCAAACAGGAGATCAGTGCAGAGTGGGGGGGCTGCTTATGCTTGCTTATAGCCGCTCATTGCCTTTAGCGGACAAGCCACTACATTCTGCACTCAGGCTAAAGAAAAGGCAGCAGAATGGCCAAAGCTTGATCCTATTTTAAGTCAGTAGCAAAACTTCAATAATTTCAATGATTTGTCCTACGAAGTGAAATTTTTTTTCAAAAAAGTGTTCCTCAGTGATTTAAGGACACTGCCCATTGATTTCTCCCTCTCCAGCCGCCCCCAACTTGTTCTAATTCACAGAAGCTGCTTGCAGATGGGGTTTTTGTTTGTTTGTTTTTTAAAGTGCGCCATACCAAAAGGTACAACACGTTACTTCGATCCAGCACCATAGCATCTGTATACATCGGGCACTTCAGCAGGGATCTTTGGTGCTTTTATCTGAAGCTGATTCAATCAGCTATTAGATAAAAGTGCCAAAAAAGCCCCATTAAAGTGCCTGATCTATACATATGTCAGGCAAGCCAAGTCCAACTAATGTGCTGCCTCTGGACGTGTACTGGGCGCAGGAGTGCAGAGTTTAAAGTAAAGCACTGTTTTGGTTTTTAACACTGCAGGCAGCCTTAGATGTTTCTGAAAATCCTGTATACAAGAGTTCAGTACAATACACTAGAAGACTGCTACAAAGCATAGGAAAATAGGAGAGTCTCTAGAAATCTCCATCACCTTTGGATGGATACAGCAAATAAAGTGAAGGTTGGTATTGTTTGGATGTGATTGGGTGAGATTTTGTAAATGTGCTTATAGAGAAAATGGGGAATTTTCTGGGTTTGTTTTTTTTTACAATATGCAACTAAGTTTACCTTCTCCATGTTGTGCTGCTTGTCCCTGGTCCTCAAGTTAACTGGTCATTACAATGGATCTGCTAAAGAAGGTGGCCAAACCAAGAACTTCTGTTCTGCCAGCAACAGATTACTTTTTGGGGGCATTTTGATGATCTAACAAGGCTGAGCAGGGGGCTGAGATCACCCAACAAAAGGGGATCTGGAGGTCTTGAGTGATTTACTTGCCATGTCAGAGGGAGCTTAGGCAGGGGAGTCAAAGAGCACTGAGTGCTGAGGTCAGAGGTTTCATGGTTTTGAGGAGGAAGAACGTCAAGTCCATGGAGGATTTGTGTCCATGTATAAAGAACTGTCCAGAATGGTGAGGAAATGCACAGTATGTTTATAATGTCTGGATCAGTATATTACTTGAGCTAACTAAAGCAAGAGATAATTGTGTTAAGGCACTGTTATAAAGTCTGTTCCTTTCAAGTATCATGTGTCCCTCAGAATTGAACTGTAAAATTGACCACAAGACTTGAGAGCCAGGAAATGTGGCACTTAAGCTCCGTGGTGAATCAAGGAATTGGCACGGGTCGCTGGGGCCAGGCAGCCGAGTGCTGGGGACCTGTTTCTGTGAAGAAGCAACAGGCAATCTGTGCTATGGGCATCAGACAGGTCAAAGGAAGCAACAGGAACGCAACAGTGCTGCAACCTGA